GAACCGATGTTCTAATGAATTCTATTAGTTTTCGCTTAAATAATACAATTCTATCACATTGCTTTACGTCCGTTGGTATAGCATTGTACATTTGTATGCCTTCATAGAAGAAGCTTTTTTGCGCACATTTTGTTTTCCGAGATTGTATCACAATATTCTCCGCTTGCCTCGTTCTGCCTCCTACTAATACTACCTTACTTCTTAATTGTTCAGGCAATATTCCATTTATTATTTTATAAATAAAAATACAAACATTGTAATGCAATCTCTGTTTTATGGACATGAATTTCAATGCTTGCAGCATTTTTTCTACTTTTGTATATCTGTTACACTGTAATATGACCCTCATGGCCCGATTTTGTGCAACTTGTAATTTCTCCAGGTGAGCCTTATTCATATTCACTAACAGCGTAGCACAATATTCAAACTGTGGGGCTATAATTGACTTGTAAACTATACATCTAGTATATCCCGTTATGTCATTACCTATTCTATTTAAAAAACTTACTTTTTTCCCTACTTTCTTTAACATATAATCGCAATAATCTTCGAATCGTAGTTTACTGTCTATAATAACTCCAAGATATTTAATACTTTCTACGCGCTCTATCACTGTGCCATCTAAACATGTTAGTATAGTACTTTTCTTCAGTTCTATTCGTATACTTCTAATTATCATGTATTTTGTTTTGGCAACGTTCATTTTTAATTTATTCACATTCAACCAATTTTCAACTAGGTTTAATACTCTATTCAGCTTCGTATCTATTTCCGCACTACCATCCCGTTTTACATATAGAATTGTGTCATCTGCAAAAATTTTTATACTACATTCCATTGAACAAATTTGGACTATATCATTTATATACAGGGTGTCCCAAAAATGTCCTCCGACCCGGAAATGGGTCACTCGGGGGTTGAATTGGAACCACTTTTTCCTTAGCAACAATGTAAACTGAGGCTTCGTTACCAAGATATTAACGAAAAACCGCGACCAATCAGAGCGCGAGTTTGTCAGCCGAGTTCTCGCGCTAGCGGTGGCTACGCGCTACGCTTGTACTACGAAACTCCGAACAAGTAGGTCACCATGCATCGCAGGAAACTGCGTATAATAATAGCAAATAAACAAGACGTAACAAATAAAATCATACTTTTTATCATCTGTCGTTTGTTATTTAAAGAGATCAATGAATGAAACGTAAATTCCTTCTTACGAATTTGTAAATTTCCTTTTCAAATAACGTGTGAACGAAAAGGTAATGTAACAGAGAATAAATGAGAAGTGATCGTAATTTGGTATTGGTATAAAAATTCGTAGTTTAATAACTGTCAACAATGTTACTGATAATGAATAAGTTTCTTCAAAAAGCCCGAAGAAAAAGTTGGGTACAGAAACTTGCAGAATTAACGCCGAAAATAAGCCATAGCTTGCGTTAAATTAAGAAAATAATAATCAGCAATAAATTGATTAGAACTCACCCTTTCGGAAATTCACCTGCAGTTTGCAAACCTGTGTCACTAGGTCACTGAACCGATCCTGGTCATTGACGGCCGAAACGGTTTATGGCAGAGTATCGCCCAGTTCGCAGGTAATCGCAGGTATACCTCACCAGCCGTAGTTAAGGGTTGTAACGTCAAGTGCGTCCTGGTTATTCCACAGAATACGTATTCACTTCACTGCACGACCCCTAACACTGATCAGCCGACACAATCACTTAATGTATTTTTAATCCAACGTGTTGTTACTACGTTAGGAAAATTCGTGGCCCCGGAAAGGCCGATTGTTTTCAATTTTTCAGATGTTTTACAAACACTTGCACAGCAACACCCGCATATCCGTTATTGTGTACGTACCACCATAACATTGCGTAATACTCCCGTGAACTGAACATCTCTGTCGCCCGATTTCTAATCGACTGACAGAATTTTTCCTCTACCCCCTAGTAGTTTCCCATCGTTACATTGTGAGTTCACTCCCACCACGACAAGATTTAGGTAAAAAGAAACGAACGGTTCCAGGATAACACGTGCTTTGCAGAAGTGGAAGGAACAGACCGTCGCGCAGTTTCTCCAAGGCGCCGTAGCCCGTTAATTTATTGCCAGGGTACCTACTTCTTCGAGATAGGAAACAGACATCACGTGCATAGGCTTAAAAATGTCCGAAATGAAGAGGACCATCAACGTATCCCTTGCTTCGAGTTGGAAAGCACAATGTACATTGTTTTCCTCGAGGAGCAGGGAAAAAAATTTACCGACACGTGTAAGTTGACGCTGCTTGCCCCTAGCCGACCACCCTTGTAGAGGCCGGAGCGGAGTGTTCGTTCCGCTTAAATCTTCGGCCTCGTAGCAACCGTGAACTCACAACAGAATCGACAATCGACAATTTTATTACAACTCTGTGAAATTGTAGTTCTCATGAAAATATTTCATACGTATTTTTTTTT